GGAATGGTGCTGGAGCCTTTTGCTCCAATTCAGAAAACAAGTAGTCAGTTTTTGTAATTCGCACGAGGGTTGCTCAAAAAGAGTTTCGATTAATGGGCACCTTTCTATCATTTTTGGATACGACTGCTACTTCATTCAGTCCCCTGAAACTTATCAGGACCCATTGCTAGTTCAAAATTGAGTGATTTATAGTGTACATAGATTTACAGCTTGAAAGTTACTTGTTACTTGTTGACTGTTTGTTACTTTGGTTTGAATTCGTTTATTGTTGTTATTGATTTATTGTTGGAAATCGGAATTCATGTGTATAAAAATCGCTTTGAGTGAGAACAGCAGTGAAAAAGGATTCCAGATTATATCGAAGGGATCGAAGAGAAATTATGATTTGAAAGAGATAAATGGCCTCGCAATTGTAACCCCGGGAGCGCTTCATGGCCTTGTTTCCGATGCCGGTAGCTTACTGTATAAATTTGTGCTGGGAGTCCAATTAAATATTTCTCTCTAAAAATTCTATAGCAGTCTAGCATTCAGCTCGATGTTTGAAAAAATATTTGTTAAGGGCCGAGTGCGTGGCGTAGATTGAAGTCACTAGCAGTGAGCACAGCTATGATCACAACATTTAAGCGACAGCCGGAACGATCCTTGCTTGGAATGTGAGGAAGCGTTATGAGACCTGATGAAAATAGCTAAGCAGTATTCAAGAATTACGATTAGGCCGATATCCTAGTTTGCGAATTGAGCGATTCGCTAGCGAATCGCTAGATCCGAGCGTTGCGCCAGCGAATCGAACGATGCACCAGCGAGTCAACACTGTTTGAAAGACCCATTATTAAAGGAAGTCCCCCCCCACTTTCAAACAGTGTGGTCCTTTAAAGTGGGCTTTCCTTCGAACGTTCGGTCTCGCCACTTTCGAACAGTGTCCACTGATACATCGTTCGACTCGCTCGTGCATCGGTCGATTCGCTGGCGAATCGCTCGGATCTAGCGATTCGCTAGCAAATCGCTCAATTCGCAAGCTAGGATATAGGCCTAATCGTAATTCTTGAATACTGCTTAGCTATTTTCATCAGGTCTCATAGCGCTTCCTCACATCCCAAGCAAGGATCGTTCCGGCTGTCGCTTAAATGTTGTGATCATAGCTGTGCTCACTGCTAGTGACTTCAATCTACGCC